GCCGGCGCTGCTGAGGCCGCTGCTGAGGCCGCTGGGGCGCCTGCCGAGCGGGCCAATCGGGGCGCCGGCTGCCGCCTCCCGGCCCCGCTAACTGGGGCCGGCTTCGGGTGACCTCGGCGGGGCGCGGCCTGAGGGACGGCCGGCGCTCGTTGGCACCTGCCGGGGCCGCTCGGGTCGGCCGGGGTCTGGGCCCTCAGGGTCAGAGGGCCGGGGAGAATGTGGAACGCAGCGGCGTTCACTGTCCTGGGGATTGGGGGAGGGGAGGGGTTCCCGCCGGGGTTGGTGCTTTCGCCCCCGCGCGGCCCCGCGGGCTGCGGGAGAATCTGACAACCTTTCTTGCAAAAGGGCTGCAAGCTGTAAGGGGGCCACGGACTCCAGGAGTCCTGTACCACAAAGCACGCCGGGGTGTCCCTGAGACAGGAGATGGATGGCTGGATGAATTAGAAAAACCTTATCCCAAGTTCATTAAAGACTCTAACAAAGATTCACCTGTAAGTGAAACGGAGCTCTGGGTGGCACCAAACCCAGCGCACGGGTGTGCCACTGCGCGCTCTAGCGCTCTCCGAGGCGTGGGGCTTAAAGCCTCGGGTATAGGCCCGGGGTTACCCGGCAGCTGTCTGCGGTATGTGGGCTGAAGACAGAAAACTCTTCCAGAATCCACAGCTCTCTCGCCCTGACTTCCAGTTGCGTTTCTACCACGTAGAAGCCACTAGGTTTTACCCTCTTCCATCTCTTGGCTTCCAGCAGTCTCAGGAAACCAGGACATATAGTGGTTTAGCCAGCCTGCAAAGATGGTTTCTTAATGTTAACATCCGATTCGTTTCCTTTTTATTTTAACTTTTATTTAATAGCTGCTCTGGTCATGGCAGATATCAGAGACCTCTGCAGGGTCGTTTTACTCTGTCACATGTATTAGTTTTTTGTATTTTCTCATTCTGCTTTTAAAAAATTGTTCTTTTAAGACCAGTGGAAAGGAAATCTTGCATGTGGCTAACCTGAGTCAAAGAGGAAAGCAGTTTGCTATATCTCTTGCTGAAAAGGAGTCATCTTAAAACATGTCCGCACAGATATTTGTGCAAATCAAAATGCCTTCCTAAGGAACTTTAAGGAGCTGTCCAAATTTTGAGACACTGAGGATTTCCTTGCTTGAAGCCAGCCAGCCAAGCCATTGGCTGGACTTTGTAGGGGTTTTTTTTTGACGAAGGGAGGGAAGTATGTGTCAGGTGACCAGCATATTTTTATGTTTTCAGAACAGTTTATTTCTCTGTGTGCACTGAAGGAAGGATTTTCTACAGACACACTGTTTTGGCACCCAGCCCTTGCCTTTGTTTGGACTACCACATTTATGCAAAGGACTCTCAAATCATGCTCCAGAAATGAATTTTCTTCTCTCTTTTTAAAAAATGTTTATTTATTTATTTTGAGGGAGAGAGTGCACACAGGAGGAAGCAGAGAGAGAGAGAACCCTGAGTCCGTTGTGGGGCTCCATCTCACGAACCAGGAGATCATGGCCTGAGTGGAAATCAAGGGTCAGACCCTCAACCGACTGAGCCACCCAGGTGCCCCAGAAATGAATTTTCAATTAACCTGCTTTATATCTCCACCTGAATATCTTGCAGGCATACCAACACAACATGTCCAAAACCAAACTCATGGCTGCATTCCTCAAGGCTATTCATCCTTCTGAATCCCCTACTTCTGTTACCAACATTACTGTCCATCCAGTCACCTCTGTTTGAAGCCTCAGAATGACCTTTGGTTCTTCCTTCTCTAGTGTCTCCTCTCATCTGATCAATTGCCAACTCCCACAGACACTCCTTTCGCAATATTTATCACATCCACCCCCCTCCCCAACCCATCCATTCCCACCGCTACCATTCTGGCTCGGTTCTTATTTCCTCACTTCTTATCTTGACTATTAAAATGTTCTCCTAATTAGTCTTTCCGCCTCCAATGCTCTTCTTGTTCCAGCCATCCTATATTTTGCCTTACCCCAGACCAATCCTCCTAATGAATAATATACACGTTAGGATTAGGTTCAGCCTCCATCCAGCAAGGAAAAAAGGAGAAATGTCCTCTCCCTTTAAGAACATTTCCTAAAAGTTGTTCACACTATGTGCTTTACATTTCCTTAACCAGAATTTAGTACATGACCTCACCTAGCTGCAAGAGAAGAAATGTAATATTTATTTTGCACGGGCATATCCCCAGCTAAAAACTGGTGCTCCTAATGAATAAACCACAAGGGTGAAAGGTATAGCATAGGGAATATAGAATGGTATGGTAATAGGTTGTACGGTGACAAATGGTAGTTGCACTTTTGGGGAGCACAGCACAAGGTATAGCCTTGTCAAATCCCTATGTAGTGCACTTGAAGCTAATGGAACACTGTGCATCAACTATACTTCCATAAATACATTTCTTTTAGGAATTAGTGCTTCTGTGACTAAAGAAGCAAGAAAGAATGGTATTCCAGGAGAGCTCCTTCATGCCACTTCTTGTTCAACAGCTTGCAGCGGTGCCCGTTGAATTAAGAATACGCTAGGGGCGCCTGGGTGGCTCAGTCGGTTAAGCATCCGACTTCGGCTCAGGTCATGATCTCACGATCAGTGAGTTCGAGCCCCGCGTCGGGCTCTGTGCTGACAGCTCAGAGCCTGGAGCCCGTTTCCGATTCTGTGTCTCCCTCTCTCTCTGCCCCTCCCCTGTTCATGCGCTCTCTCTGTCTCAAAAATAAATAAACGTTAAAAAAAAAAAAAATTAAGAATACGCTCTTCATCCTGGCATTCAAGGCCTACCACCATCTGGCCTTGGCTTACTCACCATCTATGCATGCTACGAAAACAGGACTGTGTGCTTCTTCCACATTTTCTTGCCTCTCCACGCGGTCCCAGTTAACCTCTCTCCCAAAGCCTTTCGTAACCCCCCTCGCTCCAGCTGTGCTTGCCGCACACAGCTGTGTGTACCCCAGAGGTGTGTTAATAGTTAACCCTCAGTTGGGAGTGAGGAACTCCCCGCCCTGCTGGCACTTTCATTGGACGTAAGTGTGGTGTGGTGTTGGCGGTGCCTTATGCCATGCCTAATGTCTGAACTAGCAAAACCTCTCTTTAAGTAGGAGCTTGTGTCTCGGGGGCTTCTTCCAGGCACTGGCTGCTCCATAGCTGCTCTGCCTACATGTGAGGCAAACCAAGAAATAGGATATCTGCTCTCAGCCTCCCCAACAGTTGGTATAGGGTTTAACTCTCTGTTTTCTTTTTCTCTCCTTTCTTCCCCCTTAATTCTTCTTCTTCCATTCTACCATTACATTTCTTCCATCTTTTCATAATTTTACGTGCCTCCTCCTTGTCAGTGTGTAGTACAAAAAATTGTTGACTCCTGTATTTAGACACCTTCCCCTACAATACTTAATGTGTTTTCTCTGGATTCTGGATATGTAAGTATCAAATTACAAAATACCTTAAAAGTGGTCCAGTCTGATACCACCATCACCACCACCACCATCATCTGATGTTTGAAACTCTCAATAGGTTGGAGTATTGTTCAGCAAGAATTTCCTCCTTCCTCCCACTTGGATGGGAGTACATTTACTCACCTTTTAGATTTTGACCTTGACCATGTGACCTACTTGGCCAATGAAATGAGTGGATGTGACTCAAGCAGAGGCAGCAAAATGTTTTACGGAGTTGCACTTGGACTCCTGCTTACGTGTGACTCGGCATGCCCCAGGTAGATATTGTCCTGTTGGCCTGGTATCAGAACAAAGACGAGAAATGTGTCTGAATCCGGCCTGCAGCTGCAAACCCATCTGCCTTGCTGCCTAAAGAAGACATCCCAGGCAACCCACGGACCTATAAGTGAGAAAAATAAATGCTGCTGTTGAAACTTACTGAG